AAGAGGAACTACTATTTAAAAATCATACTTTCTATGCAGTAAAGAGTTCTATTGATTAACTTGATTTGGGGCACGTTCTCATACACTCCTACAGGGGAAAAAAAGAGCAAAAAGAATCACTGTGTCACCACTAACAAAAAAAAGATGTTGAGTTCTGATTTCAGGAATGTTACATTCTTGTTTTTCTCAAAGATGCTTTTTTAAAAATTATGACAACAATTTTAAGTCACTTACACCTGCTGTGAGGCTACAATACAACATTTAGGAGCTCTGTCAAAACAAAGGAGGATAAGCAAGAGAATAAGGGAGTGAAAATAAATGCGTGTCAATCTGATAATCCAGAGCACTTTTCAGAATCCATTAATTTAAGTAGTTAATTAATTAAATCTTGTCAGTCACCACTTTAATTAAGGGTTCAATAGTTAACATACAAAGAGTAATCATACAACCTTAAAAAAATGAGGATGGGGAGGGACTTCAGGAGGTCGCATCTAGTCCAACCCCCTGCTCCAAGCAGGACCAGCCCCAACTAGATCATGCCAGCCAGGGCTTTGTCTACCCGGGTCTTAAAAACCTCCAAAGACAGAGACTCCACCACCTCTCTGGGTAACCTGTTCCAGTGTTTTATTACCCTCCTAGTGAGAAAGTTTTTCCTAATATCTAACTTAAATGTCCCTTCCTTCAACTGGAGACCATCGCTCCTTGTTCTGTCATCTGCCACCACTGAGCACAGTCCAGCTCCATCCTCTTTCGAACCCCCCTTCAGGTAGTTGAAGGCTCCTATCAAATCCCCCCATAGTCTTCTCTTCTGCAGACTAAATATGCCCAGTTCCCTTAACTTGTCCTCAAAAGTCATGTCCCCCAACCACCTCACCATTTTCGTTGCCCTCCGCTGGCTTCTCTGCAATTTGTCCACATCCTTTCTTTAGTGGCGGGCCCAAAACTAACACTTTGATATATCCAATTTGTGTCCATGTTTCAACAACAAAACAACGATTTATTTTTAAGGAAAGGCTAATGATCCCCATCATTTGCATGATTATTCTGATATCCTTATACCAAATATAATCAGTATATGGAATACAAATTACTGAGTAGCAACCTACAGCAGTACATATGCTTATTGGGATACGTGAATACTTTGCCTCTTAGCAACCATTGCCTACCATTTCAGGGTAGATGTAAACAGTCTTTAAAAAATGAACTGCCAAAGTACAATCCAACTAATGATATATTGGGCTGGCAACATGTTTACATATAAAAACGCTAGCAAAAAAAAAAATCAATTGGTATTTTTCTCATTTGGAAAAGTAATTAATCACTAGGAAGTACTTTATTAAAAAGCTTTTCAAAATTGAAATGCGAGTTCAACAAGAAAAATTTAAGTTGACGACTATCATGTTTAAGCTATCAGCAACTATATTAATAGTGACTCAACAAGTTGAATTCATTAAATTTTAAGTTTCTCTATACTATAAGTGTTGCATGATCACCTCATAAATCCTCATAAAGGTATGATAAAAGAACTTCTAGTATGGTATTGCTTTAAAAACCTTTTTATTACAAATCTAGGCAGAGCTTGTCATTCTGACAACACATTTACTTTAATTAATACTCATTCCATTTAAAGATAAATGGTTACCTAACCAACAAAGCAAGAATAACCTGATTCTCAACACACATCCCTTCATACTGGCTCATACATTTTTCAAATGAACATCATTCCTAGCCTTAAAACTCCCTCTCTTAATGGTTACCTGGTTCATTTGACAAACCATACTAGTCCATTTAGCAGACAATGATGGCTGATTGGATTTTTAAAAAGGCCTTCTTCCTTTAGATCCACTAACCTTGCCTACGGTCCTATTATGAAACTGTGACGGGGCAAGAGACCAGGCTGCTGTTGTGGTGCTGCAAGCTTTCCGCCTATGGGTAGCGAGCGTGGCAGCAGCAGCACAGGGTCCGCGGGGACTGCCATTCTGGTGCCCCCTCTAATTTGGTGCGCAGGACTTCCCCCCTTCCCTTATTATGCTACTGGTTTGAGGCAGTCAAGGTGAAGCCTAACAAATGTAAGGAGGTCCCTTTGGCAGGATGAGCACGAAAGAGAGACTCACTCCATCTGCACAGTAGTCCAGAGGGGCACTTGTAAGAGCTAACTTGGAGGAGGGGGAAAAAAGCAAAGCTCTACTTCCTCCTCTGAAAACTTATGTTCCTACGAAGCAAATGTTACAGCTTTGTGTTATGCAGAAGGTAAAGTAAGCCTGGCCTCCTCTAACTCCAGCACACCATCCTCCCACATGCATCTCTTCGTACGGAAGTTCCCTCCTAGCTGGCTGGGAGACTTAGGAACTTTCCCTGGTGCAAGAGCAAAGTGGACTGCAGTTGCCATGTACAAAGTCATTCCAGCCTCTGCTTAGCTCTGTCCTCTGTGGTTCCAGGTAAGTCTACAGAGGGAAAGAACAATACAAAGCAGAACAGGCCTGCAGCTAGAAGTTGCAGGAAGGAGGCAGAGGAGTTTATTTTCAAGCCATGTTCCCTTTCCTGCAAGAAATGCCCTTTTTCAGCCCAGTAACACATTGTTCTAGAGTGGTGGCTCGCAACCTCAGGGCGCGACCCAAAATTGGGATTGCAGAGGGTCCGCCCCTTGCTCCGCCCATCCAACCTGTGGGGCTCTCCTGGCCCACGGTCTGCGCAGCTCTCGCTGCCGCTGCCCCTGTAATCCTGGCCCAGCCGGTGAGCCGGTGGTAGGGGTTGTGACCGAGATTTAGGGTCGCAGCAAAAAAAGGTTGAGAGCTACTGTTCTAGAGCTCTGTTAAGGCCTGGAAGAAAGTGAGCCCATCAGAAAAGCAGCACCAGTCACAGCTGCTGGGGATGAGCAAGAGCACATGGGGAAGCCAGCCTACACACCAAAGAGGAGGTACAAGACTCCAGACTGACTACTGATCTGCATAATGAACAGACAAGGCCTTCCCCATTTAGCTCTGCAAGGAAACTTGAACTTTATGTGGCCTTTTGATTTACCTCCTCCCTCACCACTACTGCACCACTGTTTTCAGAACACTTCTGGGAGTTGGACTGTTAATCAACTTCTACCCTGTCTGCTCGCAAATAGCTATTGAGATAAAGTGGGGAGTACTTACAATGTTGAGAGAGATAATTTAACAATTTTTTAAGCCAGAGTTGGAGCTTAGCCAGATAGACTGTCACAGATTAACAGTATGTTTAAATTCACACTGCATGACTTACTTTTTTTTTTTTTTTTTTT